GGGCAGACGGTGTGCTCCCACTCTCCCCCTCCTCTCTTTTAACCCCTCATTGTCCATGTAGAGACCAGCTCCTCTCTGGCTGAGAAATCGCGGCCCGCCAAGGCTCCAGCCCCAGGACTGAGGAAATTCAACTTGGGGACGTCCGACGGCCGTGTGAAATTTTCCCCTTGACCAAACGCTGGCCCGCGAGAAGAATCTTCCCGTGGTGTCTTGCTGGAAGGACACCGAACCTTGGCCGAGCAACCAAGTTTGCGGATGCCCCAGGACTCTCATTGTATCTGAGATCTCTGAGCTGGGCAGAGAATTGCTTTCACGGACCGGTCAAGGAGCGGATCCCAACGGCACGAGGAGCCCTGGGTTCCAATATGGCCTTTATTATGGACTAGGGCGATAAGGTGAGCCAGCATCGGGCGTCCTCTGCAATTAGGGGATAAACCTGACCTGCGCTCTGAACTTCTTGTAAAAATGGCCAGATAGGAAACTTTGGGAAGAGGCGTTTGGACCATGACTCTCACGCTCGCTTATTATCGATGACAAGAGTGATGAGACTTGACTGCTCAGTGTTGCTACTCTAAGAAATAAATGCATTTGGGGGGTGGCCGGGTGGGGAGGGTGAAAATTCAACCATTGAACTACGGCGACGCACTCTACGCGGGGCTACCCTTGAAGAGTATCCGGAAGCTGCAACTAGAGCAGTTCTGGGCCGCTGTAGAGCTGCGTCTGTCACGCCTCTGCTGCGTGAGCTGCGTTGGGTGCCGGTTTGCTTCCAGGTCCAATTCAAGGGGTTGGTTATGGCCTTTAACATCCTGCATGGCATGGGACCGGGTTACCCGAGGAACCGACTTGTCCCGGTCACATCTGCCCGTCCCAGCCGGTCCGGCAAGAAGGGCATGTTATGGACCCCTTCAGCTGAAGAACTCTTGTGTTTCAGACTTGGGAAGAGCATGGGAAGGACTGGGGTTCAGGGCTAGGATGTTTAACATTTGAAACGCTACAACAGTGTTTCTCAACCTTGGCCACTTGAAGATGCATGGCTGGCTGGGGAATTCTGGGAGTTGAAGTCCACACATCTTCAAGTGGCCAAGGTTGAGGAACGCTACACTACAGGGTCAACCCCTGATGTTTTTAAATAGAAGGATTAAATTGCAGATAATGGGGAAAGATCTCTGCCCTAGATCATGGAGGGCTGCAGACAAGGAAGAAGGAAAGGTTGCATTCACAAAACCAAAACATCATGATCCAGATCAGTCACAATGCTGGAAACTGAATCTCCACGGCGTGCTAAGATTCGGGGTAACCTGGGTTGGGTTCTTGGATGGATGTAGTGCGAATCCAGCCCATTTGTGGTGGTGATGGTTTATTGTATTACGAGAACCATAATATATTGGGGGATCCAGATAGGAATGTTTGTGGGAGTGAACAAATGGAGTATTCTCTTTTTCGGTAGTTCAGGGGAATTTTTCTTCTTCCTTCCCCTTTCCAGCCCTACTTGACTCCTGGTGCTACACAAAAAGTTGAAAGAAAAAAAAATACAAGAATGCACCCACCAAGTGCCAACCCTAAATACATATAGAACAACCACAACATGTTATGGGAATATTTTATAATGTTAGCTGACACCAGAGATGTTGTGTTAATTGCTTTATTTTTAAGGCAGCCATTGGAAACTTGTGACCTGCAAGCCAACTGTGGCTTGTGGGCAGGGTTGGGGTAGGATGCGGGTCAAAAAAGACAGCAACCATGCAATGGAAGCCCATGTAAAAAAGGGGCAGAGCTTCAATCACACAGTTACAGCTGCCATCTTGACTTTTTTGACACACACACCCTTTGGGACACCCCTAAAGGCCTCAAACGAGATCCTGCCTCCTTCCAGCAACCCCACTTCCCCTGGTAGGTTCCTCTGAAGCTTCTCCATTAGGGCTGTGCACAAAGTTGGTTGGCTGGTTAAATTTATAACGCCCTTTTCCTACAGGTGGTTTCTTGGAAGATGCAACAATTCGATCTCACTCCTATTGTCGGGCTTCTTAGGGGTTGCCTAAGTTGAAAGCAAGATTCTCACAAGTTTTCTTTAGCAAGATTTATTGAGATGCAAGCGATGGGGTTGCAAGAATTCCAGCAACTGAGCTGTTGCCCCTCAAGAACCCATATGTCCCTATACTGCACATTGGAGCCGTTCTGATTTTTTTTCTAACAGCCCCATGATCTGGCAAGGAGGCAGATGTTTTACACTTAAGTCCTCAGGAACCATGTTTCAGGCTGTATCCAGAACCAAACCATTCCATATCCAGATCAAACACACATGCTTTGGTTTGGACATGAATCGCCTGGAGCCACGGTGCATCTCTACTTTCAGTGCATGAGGAAAGAGGCTGTCTCTTTCTGTCTACATCAGTGTTTCTCAACCTTGGCAAGTTTAAGATGGGTGGACTTCAACTCCCAGAATTCCCCAGCCAGCATACTGGCTGGAGAATTCTGGGAATTGAAGTCCACCCATCTTAAAAAGTTGACAAGTTTGAAAAACACTGGTCCAGCTGATGTTTCTCAGCATCAACTAGCAGCAGCTCTCGAGCGTTTTTCCAACTGGGCTTAACTTTTCATCTAAACAGATTGTCCTCGGCTACCAAGCGTGCCCAGAAACGTCCACCAGCTTGCCAAAGGCGTCCCTTAACTGGCTGGCGGCTCCTTCCGCGGCTCAGCTGCCCAGCGGTCTTCTGAACCAGGAGGCTGTGAAATGGTGCTTTGATTAACTCTCCAGCGATCTGCAGGATTTCCTCCCTGGGGGGGGTCGGGGGGGCGCAATCAGGACTGTTATCAGGGGCCCAAAGCAATTTTCTTAAGTAATCTCTCCTACTGTTCTAAAGCTCTTAACACAGTTGGGTAGCAAGTGGAAAGACAACTGTCCCCCCCGCCCCCCCAGAGACCCTGTGGTTTAGTTTGGCAGCCTTGCCACTCAAAGCTGCTTCTGCCAAATTTAGTTTTCAGGGGTGGGAGAGCATCCTTGAAACCACAGATTCTGTGATACATCACGATAAACCTCCACAATGTTCTGCTGTGTACGTTGGAAAGAGTTCAGATTGCTCTGAAAGATCTTGGTAGCTTCAAACTCAAATTCTCTGGATCCTTACAAGACCGCCCAGCCCCTTTTTAACGTAGTCCAGTGTGTTGTGCCAAATCAGTTGTGTAGCCTAGTTACCTAAGGTCTGTTGGGTCCTCCGTCCCATCAGTGGAGCATCATCTGTTCCCAGTTCCTCCTAACCCAAGTTGAGTACAGAATTAACAATTTACTTCCCGGGAACTCATCAATCTCCCTGCTTCCAATTCAGAAGTGTGGTACCCCAATAGCATCTGTCCCTGGGTTGGGTTCAGCTCAGCGAATCCCAGTTTTTTCCAAAGGCTGCTCCGTTTCAGGCTTCAGAAAATAGCCGCAGATACCACCAAGACTTTCTAATCTTGCGAGTCTGCAATTGCATCTAGGTGCTCCGGAGAGCTAGGAATTGCAGCCGAAGAACGCCGTTGTCTGCTAGCAAGAAGCCTGGGGAAAAAAGGGGGGAATTGTTAAAATTCGAATGATAGCCATACCACCCATTTAACCTGGCTACTGGCTAGGCGATTGTTGGGAAGGCTTCAAATGCAGAGTTTTGCACAGAGCAGAACCAATTGGCCAGAATGAACTGTTCTGCCTCTAGGACTGGGTTCACCCAAGACAATTCACATCATTCTGAATGAAGACATTTTCTGGGCTTGCCCTCTATGTGAAATCATAAATGCTCCAAACAGGCTGTGATGGCACCGTAAGCTAAGCCACAAAGGAGCAGAACCGCAAGGATGCTAACAAAGCTTGAGCTGTGCGAATGCGCCAACTAAGCTTGGTTAAACTTGCTGAGCAAACCAGATGCTGTGGGGTGGGGTGGAGAAAATGCCGCTTGGAGAAAATGCCCCTTGCTAATTCCCCTAGATCAGTGTTACTCAACCTTGGCAACTTTAAGAGAGGTGGAC